CTACGTTGACTCTCGTGACTGTTAAGTATGGGCGGCCAAAAGGGCAAAAATTCATGTCGTCGATTCAGTTATGTTTCGTCTATTCACTGCCTTCCCATCGATTCAGTTTCAAGTTTAAACGATCCTGTCATAAATTCAACATCTACTTTCGTCAATTCAATTGTCAAACATTTCTCATCTACGGTGTATTAAAACCAATGCTCTCACGATTTTCGTCGATCGTCTATTCTCGTCGGTCGTGTAATCTCGTCGATCGTCCAACTAATCTGATAAAGGATAGAGATCCATGACCATCCCGCCTAGAAACATAAAAACGACTTTAAATTGGAGAGAAAGGAAATATTATTGACGACGCAGACTTTACGATAATGGCCAGAAAAAAAAAAACGTTGTTATCAATTCGATTAAACTGACGGACTGAATGCCTAGACATATGCGGTTTTTACTATGAAAGCGTCTCATATGTCTGTTATTGACAACGCACATTATAATACTGGTACTTAAAACTTTTGACTCAGAAACTACTTTGATCTGCTGTATACGGGAGTGCAATACAGAGTGAATAGAGAATCGTGATGAATAATTGAAATACATTCTTACGGGTAACAGGTGTGAAAATTAAAAGTTACGATGAACTACTTATAAAACTTAATTTGTTCTCGTATATAATAGGACTATTTGTATCAAATGAAAAATGTGCAGTTAAGATAATCTCTCTCTCTCTCTCTCTCTCTCTCTCTCTCTCTCTCCAGCAAAATCCAAGGCATATGTTCTCATACCGGTAGTCTTGAAAAGTTTATCAACTTATAGATTTTTATTTAAAAAATAAAATATTCCTCAAATAGATCCATTTCGTATTTTTTTTATAAAAATATCGCCAATCTCAGATCTCCATTCACTGCACAATTCTCTCTCTTGTTGATCAAACTTATTTACAAATTAATTTTATTTACAGTGTTCAAAGCGTTGTATAAACAGACCAACTACTGTCTAAACAGACTAACTCTGCGGCCGCTATATGTCTAGGTATTTATTTTGGTGTTTCTTAGGGACAAATTCACATGGTATGCTTTTCTTCATAGATGCTGGAATATGTCAATGCGAAGGTTATCAAACTTTGTAAAGTTCAGAAGTTAGCAAAGCTGATTGACCTTTTTACTGAAATTGCCATCTGTTTCTCACATTCGAAATCAATTTTAGCCCCCATATACAGTGTAAGTATGCATAACAGGTGCGGATCCAGGAATAATTGAAGGGGGGGGGCGCGGATGAGATGCCGGCCCTATCCCCTCCTTGGCTTGGGGTTTGGGACCTGCTGAAGGGTCCCGAAAAGTTTGGTAATTTAGAGCGCGATTAGAGGTTTATATTCATAATACTGTCATGATCGGGTGGTTGCTCAGAGAAACTAGTAAACGCGTGGTGTTAAAATTAAATGGAAGATGATGTTGACGTTTTGTGTGAAATGTGAACATATATCTTTAGTAGAAAGGAAAGACAACTTTTATAACTTTTCAGCACAGTTTACAAAGTTTGGCAACCTTTACATTCATATATCCACCCAGATAAAAATCAATTAAACTGACGGACTGAATGCCTAGACATACGAGGGTTTTACTATAAAAACGTCTCATACATCTGTTATTGAAAACGCACATTACAATACTGGTACTAACAACTTTTGATTCAGAAACTACTTTGATGTTCTGTATACGGGAATGCAACACAGAGTAAATAGAGAATCGTTATGAATAATTGAAATACATTCTTACGGGTAAAATGTGTGGAAATTAAAAGTTACGATGAACTGTTTTTAAAACTTAATTCGTTTTTGTAAATAATAGTAGGCCTACTATTTGTATCAAATGAAAAATGTGCAGTTAAGATAGTCTCTCTCTCTCTCTCTCTCTCTCTCTCGCTCTCTCAAATTCTCTCTACCATATACAGTGTAAGTATGCATAACAGGTGCGGATCCAGGATTAATTGAAGGGGAGGGGGGGCGCGGATGAGATGCCGTCCCTATCCCCTCCTTGGCTTGGGGTTTGGGACCTGCTGAAGGGCCCCGAAAAGTTTGGTAATTTAGAGGGCGAACAGTGATATTTGGTACGGTTTAGAACTATGATTCGGTTAGTCAAAATTCTAATCTCAAGATGGGACCATTGGTGTATTATTTTTTACAGAAATTGAAGGGGGGAGGTGAGGATCCCCCTGACACCCATCATCTGCCACTGCATGATATTACTTATTACATTATGTAGATTTAAGATTTTTGTTTGTGCATGTAAAGACGGCTATAGAAAAAGTTACGGCCCAATTACTACGTAGGACAAACTCTTCTCCCCCTTTCTCTCTTTTTCCCTCTCTCCAAATTCCAACCCGCCCCCCCTCAAAAAAAAAAAAAAAAATGTGCAACTAGAAAATGGACTGAAAAACAGTTAAGAAGAAACGCCATGTAAGTAGAAGAAATGTTGATATTTATTGTCACGGTCGCGTGGTTGCTCTGAGAAATTAGTAAACACATGTTGTTAAAATCAAGTTCAAGATGATGTTGTTGTTTTGTGTGAAATGTGAACAATTTTAATTATTTAGTAGAAAACCCACAAAACTTTTATAACTTTCAAGCAAAATTTACAAAGTTTGACAACTTTCACATTCATATATCTACCAAGCTAAAAAGCAATAAACCTGATGGGCCGAAATGACTAGACATATGAGGGTTTTACTATGAAAGCGTCTCATACATCTGTTATTGAAAACGCACATTACAATACTGGTACTAACAACTTTTGATTCAGAAACTACTTTGATCTGCTGTATACGGGAATGCAATGCAGAATGAATGGAGAATCGTGATGTATAATTGATATATATATTTTAAGGATAAAGAGTGTGAAAATTAAATGTTACGATGAAGTGCTTATAAAACTTAATTCGTTTTCGTATATCATAGGACTTACTGTATCAAATGAAACCCGTGCAATTAAGATACTCTCTCTCTCTCTCTTTCTCTCTCTCCAGCAGTATCCAAGGCATATGGTCTCATACCGGTGGCTTGGAACCCGACAACAGGCATATACCAATAGATTGATCTTAATTCTTACATTAGTGACGGATGTCATTATTTTATAATAATAACTCTTCAAAATTTAAGTTACAAAATGTAAATATCAGCGCTGCATAACGTGTAAAATTTAGATTACTGGAAAAAATACCTTGCAAACAGGAGTTGCCGTACTTGTATATTTTTCCGTTCAACCCGTTCCCAGAAAAAGTCGTGCAACTAGAAAATGAATTCAGCAACAGAGGGGGATACTAAAGAAGAAACAACAAATAAGCAGAAGAAAGTTTTGTATTCATAATGGTGTCTTGGTCATGTTGACGTTTTGAGTGAAATTTGAACATATTCTTTTAGTAGAAAGGCAGCACAACTTTTATAACTTTTAAGCACAGTTTACAAAGTTTGCCAACCTTCACATTCACATGTCCACCCAGATAAATCAATTAAACTGACGGACTGAATGCCTAGACATATGAGGGTTTTACTATGAAAGCGTCTCATACATCTGTTATTGACAACGCACATAACAATACTGGTACTAACAACTTTTGATTCAGAAACTACTTTGATCTTCTGTATACGGGAATGCAACACAGAGTAAATAGAGAATCGCGATGAATAATTGAAATACATTCTCTACGGGTAAAATGTGTGAAAATTAAAAGTTACGATGAACTGCTTATAAAACTTAATTCGTTTTCGTATATGATAATAGGCCTACTACTTGTATCAAATGAAAAATGTGCAGTTAAGATAGTCTCTCTCTCTCTCTCTCTCTCTCTCTCTCTCCAGCAATATCCAAGGCATATGTTCTCATACCGGTAGTCTTGAAAAGTTTATCAACTTATAGATTTTTATTTAAAAAATAAAATATTCCTCAAATAGATCCATTTCGTTTTTTTTTTTTTTTTATAAAACTATTGCCAATCTCAGATCTCCATTCACTGCACAATTCTCTCTCGATCAAACTTATTTACAAATTAATTTTTATTTACAGTGATCAAAGCGTTGTATAAACAGACCAACTACTGTCTAAACAGACTAACTCTGCGGCCGCTATATGTCTAGGTATTTTGGTGTTTCTTAGGGACAAATTGCACATGGTATGCTTTTCTTCATAGATGCTGGAATATGTCAATGCGAAGGTTATCAAACTTTGTAAAGTTCAGATCAAAGTTAGCAAAGTTGATTGAACTTTTTACTGAAATTGCCATCTGTTTCTCACATTCGAAATCAATTTTAGTCCCCATATACAGTGTAAGTATGCATAACAGGTGCGGATCCAGGATTAATTGAAGGGGAGGGGGGGGGCGCGGATGAGATGCCGGCCCTATCCCCTCCTTGGCTTGGGGTTTGGGACCTGCTGAAGGGCCCCGAAAAGTTTGGTAATTTAGAGGGCGAACAGTGATATTTGGTACGGTTTAGAACTATGATTCGGTTAGTCAAAATTCTAATCTCAAGATGGGACCATTGGTGTATTTTTTTTTTTTACAGAAATTGAAGGGAGGAGCCTGCAGTGTTTGCCTCTTAGGAAAATAAGTTGCTGGACCGAAAGTCCAGCCATCTTGAAAAGTAGCTGGACTGAATGTCTGCCGGGTGGGAAAACTTCTCAGCCCGTTCTAAAAGTTGTCAGCCCCGGGCAGACGGTCCAGCCTTAATTTCTAACACTGGGGGGAGGTGAGGATCCCCCTGACACCCATCATCTGCCACTGCATGATTTTACTTATTACATTATGTAGATTTAAGATTTTTGTTTGTGCATGTAAAGACGGCTATAGAAAAAGTTACGGCCCAATGTACTACGTAGGACAAACTCTTCTCCCCCTCTCTCTCTTTTTCCCTCTCTCCAAATTCCAACCCGCCCCCCCCCCCAAAAAAAAAAAAAAATGTGCAACTAGAAAATGGACTGAAAAACAGTTAAGAAGAAACGCCATGTAAGTAGAAGAAATTTTGATATTTATTGTCACGGTCGCGTGGTTGCTCTGAGAAATTAGTAAACACATGTTGTTAAAATCAAGTTCAAGATGATGTTGTTGTTTTGTGTGAAATGTGAACAATTTTAATTATTTAGTAGAAAACCCACAAAACTTTTATAACTTTCAAGCAAAATTTACAAAGTTTGACAACTTTCACATTCATATATCTTCCAAGCTAAAAAGCAATAAACCTGATGGGCCGAAATGACTAGACATATGAGGGTTTTTACTATGAAAGCGTCTCATACATCTGTTATTGAAAACGCACATTACAATACGGGTACTAACAACTTTTGATTCAGAAACTACTTTGATCTGCTGTATACGGGAATGCAATGCAGAATGAATGGAGAATCGTGGTGAATAATTGAAATACATTCACAGGGGAAAAAGAGTGAAATTTAAAAGTTACGATGTACTTCTTATAAAACTTGAAAGTTAAAAGTAAAAAGTTACTATAAACTTAATTCGTTTTCGTATATCATAAGTATACTTGTATCAAATGAAACCCGTACAATTAAGATAATCTCTCTCTCTCTCTCTCTCTCTCTCTCTCTCTCTGTATTTCTCTCTCCAGCAATATCCAAGGCAGATGGTCTCATAGCTGTAGTCTTGAAAAGTTTATAAACTTATAGCTTCTCGCTTCAAAGACCTATTCCTAAAAATATATCCATTTTGTCTTTTAATTTTTGACTGAAACTATTGTCAATTTCAAATCTCCTTTCACTGCACAATTCTCTCTCATGTTGATCAACATTATTTATAAATGAATTTTATTTACAGTGTTAACCCCAATACACCAACTAACCCTAACCTGTACAAATCATATGGGAGCCCGCACTTCATTCTTACCCGGTAGGACGTCCATTCCTGTTACACTGCGACTGACTTAACTACCCTCTGTTTGTACGTTTTTTCTGTTGTGACAATCAAACGCAATTTTTAGAAATCTTTTCTAGCAAAATTCAAGGAACTTTCAAGAATTCGAACCCGAGAACAAACATCAAATATGCATTAGCCCCTTAAATGGTCCCTGTGATTTAATTTGTTGTTGGTTAACAGGCAACATATTCCACTTCATCGGCGAAACTAAACAGTATACTGAGTACAGTGCCACCACGTTTTTCACCTAGCTTTAGTAAAATTTTGTCTCCAGACCTCTGAATTATTTGATTCGTTAATGAATTGATGGTGTTATGTCTAAAGATTACATTCAAGCAGATGAAGCTAGATTTTAAAATGCGCATGTGTAAAACCTAAAGATAAATTGTCTTTTTGGTGAAAATAATTTCAACCAATGAAAATCAGTCTCGAACACACATTATCTTTCTGCGCATCGCTGAATCAGTCGGAAAATGATGATTTAGATTTTGGTAAAATCATTGTGAAATACCTGTACCAGTACATAACTTTGATGTCCGTTTTACATGCTTTGATCTTTTCTGAATACAGGTGTTTACTCTGCTTCAAAAGCCGATGCCTTGACTGAGCTTGCGCTGTACTTGGAAACGGTATAAATAGCTCAAACTGTGGATATTTTTCAATCATTTCAAGACTGAGAGAGAAGTGATCAAGGATAACTCAGGTAAATATTCTATCGAAGACATTTTCTTTTAATTGCTGCATAGTATTATATTTCGCCGATTGCCATTTTGCACATTGGGTTTTACAGAACACCGTATGACATCTCAAGTCTTTACTGTCATCGTGACACTGAAGGTTACGTATACCTGCTGACAGAAGAGATGTGAGCTCCACTGTCCTCTAAGATTCCTTTTGCCTTTGTGTCAACTCCATGTTGTCACTTCACATTTCAGAAGATGACTGCCTTTGCCAATTTTGTGTTGGTTTCGTTGTGTCTGGCAGCTTTAATACAGCAAGCTGAATCCGTCTGCTGCGGCGCGAAATTTAAATATTTGGGGGGGAATATCTGCGCAGACTGCACAAAGGTGAGTCTACTAGTACCGGGGTATTTATTCGGGAAGTGCATTCATAGCACATTCACAACACATGTATGGTATCAGGTATCAGGCGAACTTTGTATTATAGGGAAAACGATACCGTACATTTTAGTTACAAATAAAGCAATAAAGCTTAAAGTCCATTTTTATTTAATCTTTATTGAGCACTAAAATGTGTACAAGTTGCATTTTACAAGCTCTCTACTCTAATCATAACAACTTGATAACAACTATACAAATCTATACAAAATATGCTTGTGCAAGTTATGGAATGATTACAGGGAAGTAGCACAGAATAAAACGACTGTTGCTACTGATGGTGTATCGATCGTTTTTTCAAACTTTCAGTTATATATAGATGCAAGGCTCTCAAGCAGGATTTATTTTTTGGACTGAGCAGCCACTGTTTTTTTTCCTGATCTGTTTTCATTTCAGGAGGTATCATGAGTCTACTTCTTCCGTCACTATGATCTTCACATTTTAGTAGAAAGTGGGTTTCCGTTTCAATTCCATTACAACGGGGACACTTACTATTTTCCTTTTTTCATTAAATATCATAATTCTCGTTTATGTTTAGTTTCCACTTTTTACAGTAAGCTTGTAGTGCCGGTGGTTTGTAGACCATCTTTAGATGCAGATAATAGGACAAGGTCGTCAGCATACAGGATATGATTCAGTCCGTTGATTGCATCGGACTGGTTACAAGAATGGGAAGCCTCCTTGATGTCATCCGTGTATAAATTAAAGAGAGTGGGGCTAAGATTATCCCCCTGGCGAATTCCCAGTGTTGTTAGAAATGGGTAGTATAACCCACACCTACCGAGATGCCTAATCTGGTGTTACTATACATGCTTTTTATGACACGGTAGAAATTGCCACGGATTCCGAGTTTAAGCAATTTCAGTAAATATATATATATATATATATATATATATATTTTTTTTTGTGATTGAGATACGTACCTGTTGACTAGTGATTTCAAAGTAAAGATATGATTTGTTGTTCTATAACCTGGTCTGAAGCCTGCTTGAGCTAAGGGCTTTAAACTGTGCAATTTGGTACCCGCTGCCACCATTTACTTCGTTTTCAGTGTCTGGTTTGTGGTATTGTTTAATGGCTTCAGTCCACCTTTTTACTAGATTCACTGTGCTAATACTGACTATAGCACACTGACAATTGCGCTGTACAGCTACCAAATTTGGCCCAAAATACTGATCAGTTTTGTAGGAGACTTTATTATCCAATCCTCTTGCTTTGTCATATTTTGTCTGGTAGCTTGATTCATGAGTGTGAAATATGCTACAAAGCCTGTTTGTAGTTTCCCATCATTAAGTGCAGTAATTTTGCTTACTTTGGATGTGAAGGCATCCCTTGTTTCATCTGTGCTTGCTCCAATGATGTTGTAATAGTCCTTCATCTTGTCTTCCTTTGTTTGTTTGAGATTTTCCGAGTCCACAGAGTTTTTTTCTGCATTTTTCTTAATTTTACCCTAAAACTTGTAGGGAATATTTTATTTGTATCTTTAAATGTCTATTTTACACCTTTGGATAAGAAATATCTTTTTGGTCACGGTGTTTTAGGCCATACCGTAGTTTCACAGAGCACTTACAGATGATTGCAGCTGTTGGCCAACTTGTCTTGTCTTATATGGATTATTGAAATTCGATACGTAAATGGTCGTCAGGAATTAATTTTGTACTTGTGTGTGTGCCCGTGTGTTTTTATGAGTATGCATTGTCGGGTTATTAATTCACGATTTACATTGCAGTCAACCCCTTACTGTTCGTATGGAAAATGTAACATATTTGGCTGCGCATGCGCAAGTTCATGTAGAGAGGACTGCGGCAGCGAGATCACAGAGTAAGATGAAATCTCTCTCTCTCTCTCTCCATTCAGAATAAGGGACTAACTAGTCCGAAGGTCATATATGGCGACCCTCGACAAAGCTTGCCGTCTAACCCGCTAATAAACACTGAATAGATACCACGTGGGAAAGTATTCAAGTGGGTCGGCCATATTTGAACCTAGTTAGTCCCCTATTCTGAATGGAACTTCTCTATCTTGAAGATAGATAGTATCCATTCAGAATGTACGATTCCCGGTAGATAGACCCTCTCTATCTCGAAACCGAGAGATAATCCATTAAATGACCAGTGTGCATGTAAAGACGGGGAGACCATCGGGGAATTAAGGGGATTGCTTTCAAGCGGGGTAGGAGAATCAGTTAGAGCGCATTCAAGACAGATGGTCTGCAAAATAACTGATCCACGGACTAAATATGGCCAACCCCATTAAAAAGCAAGCCGACTAATTCCCTGAAGTTCTCACGGCCTCCACATGAGCCATCAGGGCATTACCTTTAAGTTGGTGGAATATATTCAATCTGCTGGTTAGTCCGCAGATAAACTTGTTCTGAAAGTGCTCTCAGTCCGTGGATCATCTGTTCTGAATGCGCTATAGTTACCTATCTCTGCTACATTCACCCCGAGGCACTGCTTACATGTATGTTACCTCTCCTGCTTGGCCGTAAGTAGATTCTAATAAGATGGATTGCGTGTAACGTCATACTCATAGACTCGACGCAACTGTACCGCAGTCGTTCAGAAATAAAACGTAGGGATTTGGTCAACATCTCTTAATGCATCTAACAGTTTACATGGCCATTCAGAATACATGGTTCGATTACTACCTGATCCGCCGACTAAATATAGCCAATCCCTCATCAAAAGCAATGCCGCTAATTCCATGATGGTCTCCCCGCCTCCACGTGCGCCGCAGGGGCCTAGCAATTAAACCTTGGCGCCGAGATTTAATCCGTTAAAGNGATATTTCGCCGATTGCCATTTTGCACATTGGGTTTTACAGAACACCGTATGACATCTCAAGTCTTTACTGTCATCGTGCCACTGAAGGTTACGTATACCTGCTGACAGAAGAGATGTGAGCTCCACTGTCCTCTAAGATTCCTTTTGCCTTTGTGTCAACTCCATGTTGTCACTTCACATTTCAGAAGATGACTGCCTTTGCCAATTTTGTGTTGGTTTCGTTGTGTCTGGCAGCTTTAATACAGCAAGCTGAATCCGTCTGCTGCGGCGCGAAATTTAAATATTTGGGGGGGAATATCTGCGCAGACTGCACAAAGGTGAGTCTACTAGTACCGGGGTATTTCTTCGGGAAGTGCATTCATAGCACATTCACAACACATGTATGGTATCGGGCGAACTTTGTATTATAGGGAAAACGATACCGTACATTTTAGTTACAAATAAAGCAATAAAGCTTAAAGTCCATTTTTATTTAATCTTTATTGAGCACTAAAATGTGTACAAGTTGCATTTTACAAGCTCTCTACTCTAATCAAAACAACTTGATAACAACTATACAAATCTATACAAATACTTGTGCAAGTTATGGAATGATTACAGGGAAGTAGCACAGAATAAAACGACTGTTGCTACTGGTGGTGTATCGTTTTTTCAAACTTTCAGTTATATATACCTGTAGATGCAAGGCTCTCAAGCAGGATTTATTTTTTTGGACTGAGCAGCCACTGGAATTTTTTCCTGATCTGTTTTCAGTTTAGGAGGTATCATGAGTCTACTTCTTCCGTCACTATGTTCTTCACATTTTGGTAGAAAGTGGGTTTCCGTTTCAATTCCATTACAACGGGGGCACTTACTATTTTCCTTTTTTCATTAAATACCATAATTCTCGTTTATGTTTAGTTTCCACTTTTTACAGTAAGCTTGTAGTGCCGGTGGTTTGTTTTGTAGACCATCTTTAGATGCAGATAATAGGACAAGGTCGTCAGCATACAGGATATGATTCAGACTGTTAATTGCACCGGACTGGTTACAAGAATGGAAAGCTTCCTTGATGTCATCCGTGTATAAATTAAAGAGAGTGGGGCTAAGATTATCCCCCTGGCGAATTCCCAGTGTTGTTAGAAGTGGGTAGTATAGCCTACACCTACCGAGATGCCTAATCTGGTGTTACTATACATGCTTTTTATGACACGGTAGAATTTGCCACGGATCCCGAGTTTAAGCAATTTCAGTAAAAGTCCCTTGTGCCACACTGAATCAAAGGCTTTTCTTATGTCAATGAAACATGCATATATATATATTTTTGGTTTGGATTAAGATACCTGTTGACTAGTGATTTCAAAGTAAAGATATGATTTGTTGTTCTATAACTTGGTCTGAAGCCTGCTTGAGCCAAGGGTTTTACACTGTGCAATTTGTGTACTTTTATCAGCAGCAACGCTCAGTTGTTTCGGGGCTTGTTTTTTGTTGGCGCATATTATCCACTTCTTCCGTTAACTTGGTTAATCTGTCTGAAAGCTGTGTTAAGAGTATCAACAATACCTGGTGGTCACTGGCTGACTTAACTGATAAGTGACCCACATATTCACTCAGAGTATTTATTTGACTGTCCAGAATATAGTTTGTTTTTGTGTCATTTCTTTTCATATCTGTGGTTTTAAACAGTAGTTCAACATAACCTGCTTCCACTGCTTGCAGGGTCTCTTGCATCTTCCCAACTTCTCTCTCTGTACGGTTTTCTCTAAAAATTGTGCCCAGTTTAGATCTACATCCTGTCTGTAAGTTTCTCCTTGATATCTCCACTGATGTTTGGCTGCTGCGAATAGGGGATTCACAGTCTCCCTCTTCTTCTGTAGTTTCTTTTAATTTTGGCATAGATGGTTGCTGTATCATTTGGGGGGATGAAACAACCATGGCTATTTTTGTCATATAGTCATATGCTAGCCATAGTATTTATGGAGCTCCCTATACACGGATCTTTTTGAATTTGGCGGTGTGGTAGAATTTTAATGATATTGCAGCTGGATTGATTCCACTGGGACCCTTATATTGAAATTTCAGCTGGTACCCGCTGCCACCATTTACTTTGTTTTCAGTGTCTGGTCTGTGGTATTGTTTAATGGCTTCAGTCCACCTTTTTTACTAGATTCACTGTGCTAATACTGATAATAGCATACCGACAATTGCGCTTTACTGCTTCCAAATTTGGCCCAAAATACTGGTTGTGTAGGAGATGTTATTATCCAATCCTCTTGCTTTGTCATATTTTTGTCTTGTGGCTTGATTCATGAGAGTGAAATATGCTACAAAGCCTGTTTGTAGTTTCCCATCATTAAGTACAGTAATTTTGCTTACTTTGGATGTAAAGGCATCCCTTGTTTCATCTGTGCTTGCTTCAGGTTGAACACCAAGGATGTTGTAAGAGTCCTCCATCTTGTCTTCCTTTGTTTGTTTAAGAATTTCCCGGTCCACAGAGTTTTTTCTGCATGTTTCTTAATTTTACCCTAAAACTTTAAGGGAATCTTTTCTTTGTATCTTTAAATGTCTATTTTACACCTTTGGATAAGAAATATCTTTTTGGTCACGGTGCTTTAGGTCATAGTTTCACAGAGCACTTAAAGACGATTGTAGCTGTCGGTCTTGTCTTACAGTACCTGTATATGAATTATTGAAATTCGATACGTAAATGGTCGTCAGGAATTAACTTTGTACGTGTGTGTGTGCCCGTGCGTTTTTATGAGCATGCATCGGGTTATTAATTCACGATTTACATTCCAGGCAACCCCTTACTGTTCATATGGAAAATGTAACATATTTGGCTGCGCATGCGCAAGTTCATGTAGAGAGGACTGCGGCAGTGAGATCACAGAGTAAGATGAAATCTCTCTCTCTCCCTCTCTCTCTCTCTCTCTCTCTCTCTCTCTCTCTCTCTCTCTCCATTCAGAATAAGGACTAACTAGTCCGAAGGTCATAAATGGCGACCAACGACAAAGCTTGCCGTCTAATCCGCTAATACAAGTGGTAAACACTGAATAGATATCACGTGGGAAAGTATTCGAGTAGGTCGGCCATATTTGAACCTAGTTAGTCCCCTGTTCTGAATGGGACCTCTCTCTCTTGGAGATAGATAGTATCCATTCAGAATATACTGTATGATAGATAGGCCCTCTCTATCTCGAAACCGAGAGTAAATCCGTTAAATGGCCCGTGTTCATGTAAAGACGGGGAGACCATCGGGGAATTAAGGGGATTCCTTTTAAGCGGGGTCGGAGAATTAGTTAGAGCACATTCAGAACAGATGATCTGCAAACTAACTGATCCGCGGACTAAATATGGCCGACCCCATTAAACAGCAAGCCGCTTTATTCCCTGATGGTCTCACGGCCTCCACCTGAGCCATAAGGCATTGCTTTTAAGTTGTTTGAATATACTTTGAGTATTCAATCTGCTGGTTAGTCCGCAGATAAACTTGTTCTGAAAGTGCTCTCAGTCCGTGGATCATCTGGTCTGAATGCGCTATAGTTACCTATCTCTGCTACATTCACCCCGAGGCACTGCTTACATGTATGTTTCCTCTCCTGCTTGGCCGTAAGTAGATTCTAAGATGGATTGCGTGTAACGTCATACTCATAGACTCGACGCAACTGTACCGCAGGCGTTCAGAAATAAAACGTAGGAATTTGGTCAACATCTCTTAATGCATCTAATAGTTTACATGGCCATTCAGAATACATGGTTCGATTACTACCTGATCCGCCGACTAAATATAGCCAATCCCTCTTCAAAAGCAATGCCGCTAATTCCATGATGGTCTCCCCGCCTCCACGTGCGCCGCAGGGGCCTAGCAATTAAACCTTGGCGCCGAGATTTAATCCATTTAATGGCGCGTGTGGAGGCAGTGTGATGGGGTATCAGCGGCAGCGCTTTTGAAGAGGGGTGGGTCATATTTATTCGGCAGATCAGTTAGTACTCGGATCATCTTTTCTGAATGCCTCCTAAGACTTGAAATGGTATTTTAAAGATACGCCGCAACAATGTGTAGATAGTGTTCGCATGTATGTATTTATTAAAGTTTACTTGCTACTTGTGTGAACTGAGCATTAGGTGCACGTTTTGCCAATTCAAAAGCAGTGTTGTACGCGCAAACCATCTATATCCAAGAACGCTCGTAGTGTACGCATAATATCTTAAAGCTCTACCTAGCAATCACACCTTCCAACAGGGTCCTGTGATAATTTTACCACATGTTCACGGGAAATTCTCTGGCTTTTCTATACACATTCGTTTTTTTTTCAATAATAATAATAATAATAATAATAATGGTGATGAAATAAATTGCGAAAAATAATGAATTAAAATATTAAAAATAATGATAAAGAGTCGATATTAATAAAAGGTAATCGCTGACATCGCTGGTACAGAATATCTGAAAAGTAATATGTTCACAAGAATTTAAGATCTTTTCATTATTTGTTTAGTGTGAAGAAGAGTGGATGGTTCGCAACGCTTAAATATACCGTTACCTGTCATTGCAAGAACGGGAAAAGGGCCGCCAATGATGTCGTGTTTGACGACATGGACGCCAATGATGACGGCAAGATTGACCACCAGGAGTTCAATCCTGATCTGCAATAGCTCTGAAGTACACCAGGATGAAAAGCGCAGCACTGTTTCCATCCTTATTTGACATTTGGAAAATCATTGGGAATCGATCTTTCTTAAGAAATTGACTTTCGAAATTCAAAATTAGGATTTGAAATTATGTGAGACATTAGTGCTGTTTATATGAAATTCAGATACCAGAATGCTGTTTATATGAAATTCAGATACCAGAATGCTGTTTATATGAAATTCAGATAGCATCGCAACCGGTGTCGTTGTGTTTCATTTATTTATTTATTTATTATTATTACTGGTTTTTGACAAAAACAATCTTGTTTCTTGCTTTTTTTATCGGTAAACGATATGGGCACATCGGCGACCTTCATCTTCGTCAGGTTCCAACTCCCTTACCACAAAATGTCCAAACGTGTTCCATTTTCATCGACAGTTTGTCCACTTCAACAACAGCAATAGGAAATCAATCTATAAAGTACCCAAACTATTCCCTGTTGCTTTTAATAATATCTTTCTAGAATACACTATATTTTCTTCAAAATTAGATCGAACGCAAAATTACATTTTGCGGAAAGCCCGCTGATGTTGCTAGACGCCGATGATTTATTAATGAAATAAACTGTATTTACATTTTTACTGTAACTACTTTATGTATATATACTATTACAGTTTTCATCAAGCACAGAGGAAAAACAGAGATGAAACCCACATAGTTCCTGGAAAAAAAAACTGGGCATGATCTAATTAATTAATATTTAATGTAATATTTTTGGGAAAAATGATCCCACCCTTCCCCAATCGGGTTAGAAAGTGACCACTATTACCTTTATTCTCCCTTTTATACCACCCACGCCAATCTTCATTGGACGAGTATTGGACTACCACTTATAACTGGACCTCTTTACGTCATCCACCCAAAAATCTCCACGTACCTTCTTTTACATCACGAAACGCGGAAAATATTAATTATCACTGAAAGGGCGCTTTATGCATACATGTATGCCCGAACAGCAGTATATGACTGAATAAAAAAATTATGACATTTAGATTGGTCAATAAAATTAAAAAAAAAAAAAAATAGATAAATGAATAAATGAATAAAGGCTTGATTCTCTGTACTTCTCCACGACACAGCTTTTGTTATGCTAAAATATGCACCAATTTTCAAACTGTGGATTGTTCCACAAAGTCAGACAATCCATGCATGAGTTAAACCAAGAAGTTGTAGAGTAGAACTTCTTGGTTAAGCAAAGAAACCAAGCAGGAGAAGCCTATTAATAATCTGGCTTTATGATTGTTTATATGTCAAAACGTCATCGACTATGAGGTTCGCTTAAGGTGATGTAGGAAAAATCTGCCATTTAAATGTTGTGATGAATTTCATTATCAACCTGGTCCATCTGGAGTTTAGGATACATAGAGCTGTTAGTCCCCCTGTTCTAAATGAGGTCACATCATGTTAAAGGCCCACTATGTAGGATTTAAAACGCATTCTAAGTTCATGTATTACTTTTCGATGGATTTATTTGAGGACAATTAAACCATTTTAAACAAAAATAACAGATGAATGGCCTAAATCAATATCACAAAAAAAAAAAAAAAATCATATTCATCGTCCCCTGCCCTACCTCTGTAGTCAGCCATCTTGGCACTGTTTGTAAAGAGCGAGAGTCACGGCGCGAGAGTCTCACGATATCTGTTAGTCGAATCATTCAGCGGGTTTGGAATTTGTTTTTTTTTTTTTTCCAAAATTGTTACAGAGTTCTTGTGATTTTCAGGAAAGGAGTAGGAAAGGTTGATCGGAGATAAATGTCGTTTTATCCCAGGATAATTCGTTAAATATGAATATGGCACGAACATCCTCATTCGTACCTTTAAGATGAAATACCTATTTAGCTTCGTTTTAATCCATATTAGCCAAAACGAACTAAATCAAAGGTCCCACTTTTTATTTTCTGAAATATTTTAAACGTTCACAGCGTGATCCGTGAAGCCCCACCCCCATCCCCCTAAACTGACTCGCAAATGCGGCCTTTTTTCCTCGTTCTTCCTGAAAAAAGTTATTGTTTTTATACTTGGCGATTCATTACTTTCAACTGGCTTGGAACACTATGCAGCAATTTATGAAAATTTATTCGACACAATATTTACCTGAAAGATCCTTGTTTACTTCTCTGTCTCGATATGATTGAAAAACGTCCGACGTTTTACCTATTAATATCGTTTCAATAGCAATACACGATTCATTAAAGCATCGACTTTTGAAATAAGTACACACCTGTATTCAGAAGAGATCAAAGCATGTGAAAAGGACACCAAAGTAATGTTCAGGTATGTATTACACAATAATTATACCTAAGTCTGGATTAACATTTACCGACTGGTTCGGCGATGTGTAGAAACATATTGATTTTCTTTTTTGTTTGAGACTGATTTTCATTTGTGGAAATTATTTTCATCAGAAAGACAATAATTCTTTATGTTTTACACATGCGCATTTTAAATTCTAGCTTCATCTGGTTTAACCATTAGACATAACATCATCGATTCATCAATGAATCAAAGGATTCAGAGGTCTGGTGACAAATGTTTACTGAAAATTCCCAAAGCTAGGTCAAAAACGTGGTGACACTGCCTTCTGTTTATATAATTAGTTGCACCGTTGAAGTGGAATATGTTGTAACCTACTACAAATAAAGCACAGGGAACATTTAAGGAGCTGATGCCCACTTGATATTTCTTCGCAGGTTCAAATTCCTGAAAGCTCATTGATTTTGCTAGAAAAGATTTCTAAAAATTGCGTTTGATATTACCATAACAGGAAAAACGTATAAGCAGAGTGTGGGTAAGTAAGTCGCCGTGTAACAGGAATGGAAGTCCAGGCTCCCTTATGTTTTGTACAGATTAGGATTAGTTGGTGTATTGTGGTAAATAAAATTCATTTTTAAATAATTTTCATCAACATGAGAGAGAATTGTGCAGTGAAAGGAGGTTTGAGACTGGCGTTAGTTTCAACCAAAAATTGGAAGACGAAATGGATCTATTTTAGGAATAGGTTCTTCAAATGGAAAGATAAATGTTTATAAATTTTCCAAGACTACCGGTATGAGACCATATGTCTTGGATACTGCTGGGGAGAGAGAGAGAGAGAGAGAGAGAGAGAGAGAGAGAGAGAGAATGAGATGTTATCTTAATTGCGCGGGTTTCATTTGATGCAAGTGGTCCTATGATATACAAGAACGACTAAATTTTTATAAGTAGTTCATCATCACTTTTAATTTTCACACTTTTCCCCCTAAAAATGTGTTTCAATTATTCATGACAATTCTCCATTCATTTTGCATTGCATTCCAGTATACGCACCCTGAGCTTCAGAGCTAACTTGACACTAACCTTTTCACTGTAGCCTATCTCCATCGTGTCAAGTAACCTCTGACCAGATTCGAGTGCCCCCGCCGCCCGCCAATCAAATTTAAAGCCCGCACTCAATGACTCATTGAACGATCTAGCCAATGAACGCGAACGAGTCAAAGCGCGCTTTGTTCAAATCCGGACCAATCAAAGATAAGGCTGAATATCAGGGACTTGCCGTAACCTGTGGGCAGCACGCAAAATACATCATCCCTCAGTAGATAATGATGCAGGGCATCATACTGCTCTGGTTTCAATTCCGATATACTCCATGCTTTCTTTGTGTACGGTTATGCACTCGGAACCACTCGGAACTACTCGGATGTCTCCGCACTCGACAATAACTGTGTTGTTAGTATGGAGCTTGCGGAATCAGCCGAGGATTGCCGATTGACAATCAACCAATCAGCGTTTTCACCAAACTTTGGTGAAAAATTTTGAAACATGGATTCGATTGGCTTATATAAAATAGGTCAAACTATTTTCGTCAGAGGTTACTTGACACGATGGAGATAGGCTACAGTGAAAAGGTTAGTGTCAAGTTAGCTCTGAAGCTCAGGGTGAGTATACGTAGATCAGAGTAGTTTCTGAATCCAAAGTTGTTAGTACCAGTATTATAATGTGCGTTTTCAGTAACAGATGTATAAGACGCTTTCATAGTAAAAACCCTCATATGTCTAGGCATTCAGCCTGTCAGTTTAACTGATTTGTTTTTTTCTGGGTGGAGATATGAATGTGAAGGTTGTCAAACTTGTAAATTCTCCTTAAAAGTTATAAAATTCCATATAAAATAATATTATATGATATGTCAGACATATCTGGCCGTTCTCTGGTCGTAGGACATATCTGGCCTGTCGGACACCTGTTTGGTTTCTTTATTAACCCGGAAGTTCTAGTCTACAACTTCTTGGTTTAACTCATACAATGATTGTCTGACGTTGTGGAACATTCCGCTGTTTTATAATTGGTGCTCATTTAAGCATTACGCTAGCTGTATCTTGGAGAAGTACAGGGAATCGAGCGTTTATTCATTTATGTATTTTTATTTTTTATTTTTTAACCAATGTAAATATTCAGTCATATACTGCTGTTTGGGCATACACATAAAGCATTCTTTCTGTGATAATTGAAAGATATGATTAAATTCAACAAGGAATAGTTTGAGTACTTTATAGATTGATTTCCTTTTCTTTCTTTTTTGCTTTTTTTTTTTTTTTTTTTTTTTTTTTTTTTTTTTTTGAAGTGGACAAACAGTCGATGAAAATGGATCACGCTTGGACATTTTTGTTGTAAGGGAGGTGGAGCCTGGCGAAGATGAAGGTCGCCGATGTTCCCATATCGTTTCCCGATCAAAAAAGCTAGAAACAAGATCGTTTGTGTCAAAAACCAGTATATAATAATAATGAAAAAATGAAACAACGACACCTGTTGGATGCTATCTGAATTTCATATAAACAACAATATTGTTTCCCATAATTTCAAATCCTAATTCATAAAATGAATTTCGAAAGTTAATTTGTTGCGAAAGATTGATTCCCAATGGTTTTCCAAATGTCAATTAAGGATGGAAAGGTGCTCAGCTTTTCATCCTCGATATCAGAGCTATTGCAGATCAGGATCGAACTCCTGGGGGTCAATCTTGCCGTCATTATTGGCGTCCATGTCGTCAAACGCAACATCCTTGGCGGCCCTTTTACCGTTTGAGCAAGTACAGGTAGTCTTCTCCTTTCGCGACATGAACCACCCGCTGCCTGATTTACTGGGCAAATAATGCAAACATCTATTTGAATTCGTATATTACTTTTTAGACATTCTCTACCTTATACCAGATCTGCGATGGCCTTATTAATATCGATATTTTATCATTACTTTATCATTATATTTAACATTGTAATTCATTATTTATCACTATCATTTATTTCATCACCATTATTATTATTATTATTATTATTATTGCAAAAAGGGGACGTGTACAGAAAAGCCAGAGAAATACCCCTGAAAATCACCTGATAGAAGATATGATTGATAGGGAGAGCTTTAAAATATAATACGTTCACCACGAGTGCTTTTGGATACATATGGTTTAAGCTTACAACACTGCTTTTCAAATTGGCCAGATGATATGGCAAAACATGCAACTAATGCGCAGACCACACTAGCAGCAAAGTAAACATAGTTCACTTATATGTCACCCTTTTAAACTTTAATACATACATAAGCACACTCTTAATACATTGTTGCGGCGTATCTTTAAAATACCATTTCACGCCTTAAACTGCTCGATGCATTATGAAATGTTGGCCAGAGTAGAAAACACCAATCCCCACGTTTAATTTCTGAATGGCTGCGGTACGGTCATGCCCAGTCTTCGAGTATGACGTCACGCGCAATCCATCTTAGCATCTATTTACGGCCAAGCAGAGAAAGTAACATACATTTCAGCAGTGCTGAATACAGCAGCGCTTTATAGTACGTATTCAGAACAGATGATCCGCGAACTGAGAATCGAGAGCACATTCAGAACAACTTTATCTGCCGACTAACCCGCGGATCAAACATGTTCAACCCACTTATAATCAATGCCAACCTGTGCCCTGACGGTCTGCCCGCCTCTACACGCGCCATCCCTGCAGGAGTCTAGCAATTAAACTCCAAAGCAGAGATTTAATCCATTTAATGGCTCTTGTGGGGGGAGTGGAGCCATCAGAAGATAAAGCGGCTTTATTTTAATGGGGTCGGCCACATTTAGTCCGCAGATCATCTGTTGTGAATGCGCTCTAACTGATCCGCCGACAATTGCAAAAGTCCCTTAATTCCCTGATGGTCTTCCTGTCTCTACATACACACGCGCCATGAAACGGATTAAATCTCAGCTCCGAGATAGAGAGAGCTTATCTCTCATTTGGTCTGAATGCGCACTATCTATCTCCAAGAGAGAGAGAGAGAGAGAGAGAGGGGGGAAGAGAGAGAGAGATTTCATTTTACGTTATGGTCATGCCGCAGTCCGCTCTACATGAACGTTCACATTTGCAGCCAAATATGTTACATTTTCCATATGAACAGTAAGGGGTTCCCTGGAATGGAAATCGTAAATCAATTACTCTCTCTCCCTATCTCTTTCTCTCTGCTCTATCCCCCTCCTAGGCACACCCCCACCTTCACTGCACACGCATACAAACGCACGGGCACACACGTCCTTACAGAATGATTTGCTGACGACCATTTACGTATCGAATTTCAATGAACAATATAAAAAATAGCGTTCTAGCTTTGTTATACATTTATAACCGAAATGTATGGTATCATTTTCCACTGTAATGCAAAGTTCGCCTCATACCAAAAATGTGTTCTGAATATGTTCTGAATGCGCTTCCCACCTTAGTGCAGTCCGCACAGTAAGTATTCTTCTTTGTAAAGCAGCAGTCGGATTCAGCTTGGTGCATTAAAACTGCCAGAACCAACACAACTAACGCAAAATTGGCAAAGGTAGCCATCTTCTGAAATGTGAAGTGACAACATGGAGTTGACACAAAGGAATCTTAGAGGACAGTGGAGCTCACATCTCTTCTGTCAGCATCTATACTAAACTATCAGATGCACGCTGACATAAAGACTTGAGATGTCATACTATATGGTGTTCTCTAAAACCCAAAGTGCAAAAAGGCAATCGGCATCGTGAAAAACTATGTAGAAATTAAAGAAAATATCTTGGACAGAATTTTTACCTGAGTAATCCTTGATTACTTCTCTCTCAGTCTCGAAATGATTGAAAAACGTCCACAGTTTGAACTATTAATACCGTTTTCAACAGCAGTGCAAGCTCAGTCAAGGCATCGGCTTTTGAAGTAGTGTACACGCCTGTATTCAGAAGAGATCAAAGCATGTGGAACGAACATCAAAGTTATGTACTGGTAAAGGTATTTCACAATGATTTTACCGAAGTCTGAATTATCATTTACAGACTAGTTCGGCAATGCGTAGAAAGATAATGAATGTTTGAGACTGATTTTCGTCTGTGGATATAATTTTCGTCAGAAAGACATTAAATCTTTAGGTTTTACGCATGCGCATTAAAAAAATCTAGCTTTAGCCGGTTGAACGTAATCAGTAGACATAATAAGGATACAGAGGTCTGGTGACAGTTTTTTACTGTAAACCCCCAAAGCTAGGTTAAAAGAATCGGTGACGCTGTATTCTGTTTAATTTCGCCGGTAAAGTGGAATATATGTTGCCTATTAACCCACAACAAATAAAATCACAGGGAACATTTCATTATATAAAGAGCTGGTGCACATTTGATATTTGTTCGCCGGTTGAAAGTTCATTGATTTTTGGCTAGAAAAGATTTCTAAAGATTGCGTTTCATTACCATTACAAGAAAAAATGTACAAACAGAGGGTGGGCAAGTCATTCGCCTTGTAATGGAAGTCCGGGTTCCCATGTTATTTGTACAGGTTACGATTAGTTTGTGTATTGGGATGAACACTGTGAATAAAATTCATTTGTAAATAATTTTGATCAACATGAGAGAAAATAATGCAGTAAATGGAGATTTGAGATTGATGATAGTTTCACTCATAAATTGGTAGACGAAATGGATCTATTTTAGGAATAGGTTTTTCAAATGAAAAGCTATAAATTTATAAACTTTTTAAGAGCACCTGCATAAGACCATATGCCTTGGATAATGCTGGAGAGAGAGAGAGAGAGAGAGAGAGAGAGAGATTATCTTAATTAATTGCGCGGGTATCATTTAATCCATGCAGTCTTATCATATACAAGGACCACAAATTTTTATAATTAGTTCATCGTCACTTTTAATTTTCACACTTTCCCCCCTAAGAATACATTTCAATTATTCATCGCCATTCTCCATTCATTCTGCATTGCATTCCCGTATACAGCAGATCAAAGCAGTTTCTGAGTCAAAAGTTTTAAGTACCAGTATTGTAATGTGCGTTGTCAATAACAGATGCCTGAGACGCTTTCAAAGTAAAAACCCTCATATGTCTAGGCATTCAGTCCGTCAGTTTAATTGATTTTTATCTGGGTAGATATATGAATGTGAAGGTTGTCAAACGTTGCAAACTTTGCTTGAAAGTTATGAAAGTTGTGTTGGCTTTCTACTAAAGCAGGATTGTTCACATTTCACACAAAACGTCAACATCATCTGCAATTTGATTTTAACACCACACGTTTACTAGTCTCTTAGAGCAACCACCCGACCATGACAGTAAATATAAAGCTTTCTTCTAGTTATTTGGTTTTTCTTATTTGGTGGCGCCCTCTGTTGTTCAGTCCATTTTCTAGTTGTACGACATTTTTCTTGGAACGGCTTGTTAGGGAAAAAGATAGGACAACCACCGTTCGCCAGGTAAATTTTTACCAGTACCTGTATATATATATATATATTTATATATATATATATATATATATATATATATATATATATATATATATATAATTTTGAACAGTTATAATTATAAAAGTATGATGTTCGTCGCTAATATAAAAATTAAGATCAATGTACTGGTGCCTATATGTTGGCTGCAGGCCCCATGGTATAGTCTATTACAAAATTGTACCCTCCGCTTTATTTGTTCATGGGCCTACTATATGTCTATTTAAGAGGCACCTCTGTTATCACGGGATCAACCAAGTGACTTTCACAGACAGTCGCCGTTGCTGACAGCTGAATAATCAATGAGCGTGTAGAAGAAATATTCCATCTGTATGAATCATAATGGGGAACCAGTAGGTATGTCTAGGTCTTTGTATATAAGTCAGTTTTACCAGTATTTTTCATACTTTGAATGCATAAATATACAAACTGGGCCCTTAATTTGGGATATTTCAGTTTAAACTAGGTACAGNTGTAAATTCTCCTTAAAAGTTATAAAATTCCACATTAAATAATATTATATGATATGTCGGACATATCTGGCCGTTCTCTGGTCGTAGGACATATATTGCCTGTCGGACACCTGTTTGGTTTCTTTATTAACCAGGAAGTTCTAGTCTACAACTTCTTGGTTTAACTCATACATTGATTGTCTGACGTTGTGGAACATTCCGCCGTTTTATAATTGGTGCTCATTTAAGCATTACGCTAGCTGTATCTTGGAGAAGTACAGGGAACCGAGCGTTTATTCATTTATCTATTTTTATTTTTTTAATATTTTAACCAATGTAAATATTCAGTCATATACTGCTGTTTGGGCATACGCGTAAAGCATTCCTTCTGTGATAATTGAAAGATATGATTAAATTCAACATGGAATAGTTTGAGTACTTTATAGATTGATTTCCTTTTGCATTTTTTTTTTTTTTTGCTTTTTCTTTTTTTTTTTTTTTTTTTTTTTTTTTTTTTTGAAGTGGACAAACAGTCGATGAAAATGGATCACGTTTGGACATTTTTGTTGTAAGGGAGGTGGAGCCTGGCGAAGATTAAAGTCGCCGATGTTCCCATATCGTTTCCCGATCAAAAAAGCTCGTTTGTGTCAAAACCAGTATACAATAATAATGAATAAATGAAACAACGACACCTGTTGCGATGCTATCTGAATTTCATATAAACATCAATATTGTTTCACATAATTTCAAATCCTAATTCATAAAACGAATTTCGAAAGATAATTTGTTGCGAAATATCGATTCCCAATGATTTTCCAAATGTCAATTAAGGATGGAAAAATTGCTCAGCTTTTCATCCGCGATATCAGAGCTATTGCAGATCAGGGTCGAACTCCTTGGGGTCAATCTTGCCGTCATTATTGGCGTTCATGTCGTCAAAGCCTACGTCCTTGGCGGCCCTTTTCCCGTTTGAGCAAGTACAGGTAGTCTTCTCCTTTCGCGACATGAACCACCCGCTGACTAATTTACTAAGCAAATAATGCAAACATCTATTTGAATTCGTATATTACTTTTTAGACATTCTCTACCTTATACCAGATCAGCGATGACCTTATTAATATCGATATTTTATCATTACTTTATCATTATATTTAACATTGTAATTCATTATTTATCACTATCATTTATTTCATCACCATTATTATTATTATTATTATTATTATTATTGCAAAAAGGGGACGTGTACAGAAAAGCCAGAGAAATACCCCTGAAAATCACCTGATAGAAGATATGATTGATAGGGAGAGCTTTAAAATATAATACGTTCACCACGAGTGCTTTTGGATACATATGGTTTAAGCTTACAACACTGCTTTTCAAATTGGCCAGATGATATGGCAAAACATGCAACTAATGCGCAGACCACACTAGCAGCAAAGTAAACATAGTTCACTTATATGTCACCCTTTTAAACTTTAATACATACATAAGCACACTCTTAATATATTGTTGCGGCGTATCTTTAAAATACCATTTCACGCCTTAAACTGCTCGATGCATTATGAAATGTTGGCCAGAGTAGAAAACACCAATCCCCACGTTTAATTTCTGAATGGCTGCGGTACGGTCATGCCCAGTCTTCGAGTATGACGTCACGCGCAATCCATCTTAGCATCTATTTACGGCCAAGCAGAGAAAGTAACATACATTTCAGCAGTGCTGAATACAGCAGCGCTTTATAGTACGTATATATTCAGAACAGATGATCCGCGACCTGAGAATCGAGAGCACATTCAGAACAACTTTATCTGCCGACTAACCCGCGGATCAAACATGTTCAACCCACTTATAATCAATGCCAACCTGTGCCCTGACGGTCTGCCCGCCTCTACACGCGCCATCCCTGCAGGAGTCTAGCAATTAAACTCCAAAACAGAGATTTAGGCTTCGTTCACATGCAATGTCTATTTTCTAAATTCTATTTTCTATTCGCGCTATCTTATGATCACGGTCTGTGCACTGAATATCCCGCCGCGTAATTACTGGCACCGCGAGCCAGTTACTTATAGTAACTTATAGTAACTGGCTCGCGCTGCCAGTAATTACGCCGCAGGATATTCAGTGCACAGACCGTGATCATAAGACATACCGAAAATAGAAAATAGAATTTAGAAAATAGACATTGCATGTGAACGAAGCCTTAATCCATTTAATGGCTCTTGTGGGGGGAGTGGAGCCATCAGAAGATAAAGCGGCTTTATTTTAATGGGGTCGGCCACATTTAGTCCGCAGATCATCTGTTGTGAATGCGCTCTAACTGATCCGCCGACAATTGCAAAAGCCCCTTAATTCCCTGATGGTCTTCCTGTCTCTACATACACACGCGCCATGAAACGGATTAAATCTCAGCTCCGAGATAGAGAGAGCTTATCTCTCATTTGGTCTGAATGCGCACTATCTATCTCCAAGAGAGAGAGAGAGGGAGAGAGAGAGAGAGAGAGAGAGATTTCATTTTACGTTATGGTCATGCCGCAGTCCGCTCTACATGAACGTTCACATTTGCAGCCAAATATGTTACATTTTCCATATGAACAGTAAGGGGTTCCCTGGAATGGAAATCGTAAATCAATTACTCTCTCTCCCTATCTCTTTCTCTCTGCTCTATACCCCTCCTAGGCACACCCCACCTTCACTGCACACGCATACAAACGCACTGGCACACACGTCCTTACAGAATGATTTGCTTACGACCATTTACGTATAGAATTTCAATGAACAATATAAAAAATAGCGTTCTAGCTTTGTTATACATTTATAACCAAAATGTATGATATCATTTTCCACTGTAATGCAAAGTTCGCCTCATACCAAATTTGTGTTCTGAATATGTTCTGAATGCGCTTCCCACCTTAGTGCAGTCCGCACAGTAAGTATTCTTCTTTGTAAAGCAGCAGTCGGATTCAGCTTGGTGCATTAAAACTGCCAGAACCAACACAACTAACGCAAAATTGGCAAAGGTAGCCATCTTCTGAAATGTGAAGTGACAACATGGAGTTGACACAAAGGAATCTTAGAGGACAGTGGAGCTCACATCTCTTCTGTCAGCATCTATACTAAACTTTCAGATGCACGCTGACATAAAGACTTGAGATGTCATACTATATGGTGTTCTCTAAAACCCAAAGTGCAAAAAGGCAATCGGCATCGTGAAAAACTATGTAGAAATTAAAGAAAATATCTTGGACAGAATTTTTACCTGAGTAATCCTTGATTACTTCTCTCTCAGTCTCGAAATGATTGAAAAATGTCCACAGTTTGAACTATTAATACCGTTTTCAACAGCAGTGCAAGCTCAGTCAAGGCATCAGCTTTTGAAGTAGTGTACACGCCTGTATTCAGAAGAGATCAAAGCATGTGGAAAGAACATCAAAGTTATGTACTGGTAAAAGTATTTCACAATGATTTTACCGAAGTCTGAATTATCATTTACAGACTAGTTCGGCAATGCGTAGAAAGATAATGCATGTTTGAGACTGATTTTCGTCTGTGGATATAATTTTCGTCAGAAAGACATTAAATCTTTAGGTTTTACGCATGCGCATTAAAAAAAAAATGTAGCTTTAGCCGGTTGAACATAATCAGTAGACATAATAAGGATACAGAGGTCTGGTGACAATTTTTTACTGTAAACCCCCAAAGCTAGGTTTAAAGAATCGGTGACACTGTATTCTGTTTAATTTCGCCGGTGAAGTGGAATATATGTTGCCTATTAACCCACAACAAATAAAATCACAGGGAACATTTCATTATATAAAGAGTTGGTGCACATTTGATATTTGTTCGCCGGTTGAAAGTTCATTGATTTTTGGCTAGAAAAGATTTCTAAAGATTGCGTTTCATTACCATTACAAGAAAACATGTACAAACAGAGGGTGGGCAAGTCATTCGCCTTGGAATGGAAAGCCGGGTTCCCATGTTATTTGTACAGGTTACGATTAGTTGGTGTATTGGGATGAACACTGTAAATAAAATTCATTTGTAAATAATTTTGATCAACATGAGAGAAAATAATGCAGTAAATGGAGATTTGAGATTGATGATAGTTTCACTCAAAAATTGGGAGACGAAATGGATCTATTTTAGGAATAGGTTTTTCAAATGAAAAGCTATAAGTTTATAAACTTTTTAAGAGCACCTGTATAAGACCATATGCCTTGGATAATGCTGGAGAGAGAGAGAGAGAGAGAGAGAGAGAGAGAGACTTAATTAATTGCGCGGGTATCATTTGATCCATGCAGTCTTATCATATACGAGGACCACAAATTTTTATAATTAGTTCATCGTCACTTTTGATTTTCACACTTTCCCCCCTAAGAATACAGTTCAATTATTCATCGCCATTCTCCATTCATTCTGCATTGCATTCCCGTATACAGCAGATCAAAGCAGTTTCTGAGTCAAAAGTTTTAAGTACCAGTATTGTAATGTGCGTTGTCAATAACAGATGCCTGAGACGCTTTCATAGTAAAAACCTTCATATGTCTAGGCATTCAGTCCGTCAGTTTAATTGATTTTTATCTGGGTAGATATATGAATGTGAAGGTTGTCAAACGTTGCAAACTTTGCTTGAAAGTTATGAAAGTTGTGTTGGCTTTCTACTAAAGCAGGATTGTTCACATTTCACACAAAACGTCAACATCATCTTCAATTTGATTTTAACACCACACGTTTACTAGTCTCTTAGAGCAACCACCCGACCATGACAATTATAAATATAAAGCTTTCTTCTACTTATTTGGTTTTTCTTATTTGGTGGCACCCTCTGTTGTTCAGTCCATTTTCTAGTTGTACGACATTTTTCTTGGAACGGCTTGTTAGGGAAAAAGATAGGACAACCACCGTTCGCCAGGTAAATTTTTACCAGTAATCTGTCAGAACTGTACACACTGTGCAGCGTTCATATTTACATCATTTTTTATTTTAAATTTAAACAGTTATAATTATAAAAGTGTGATTTTCGTCCCTAATGTAAGAAATGAGCTCAATCTACTGATGCTTGTACATATATATACATATATGTTGACAGTTCCGAGCTATATTACCTAATAACTCTTTGACCCCAGGGCCCATAGTATTGTCTATTACAAGATTATACCCTCCGCTTTAATTTTCCATGGACCCACTACATGTAAATCTTAGAGGCACCTAGCTCTGTCATCACGGGATCTACCAAGTGGCTTTCATAGACAGTTGCCGTTGCGTTCAGCTGAATAATCAATGGAGTCGTGAGCATGAGTTTTCCCCTACATGTAGCTCACATCCTTTTTTACCAAGAAGATCCAGGGGTTTAGTTTTTAGGGTTGTAAACGGTTTTTTTTATAGCATTTTAACATCAGTCGTATCCCTTTTACGCATTTTAAGATATCAGAACTTCAATCAAATTACTGATTCAAGTTTGTTTGACACACAGCTATTTTAAGAGTTATGCATTCCCGACATTGTCCATGTTATAATTTATAGGCTTAATATCTCTTTATCTCTTAAAATAAGTTCCATATAACATCTGGTTGTTTAGATTTCTTTTGTATAGATGGATGGAAATTGCTATAAATTACCGCGTTACTCATCAAATAAAATAATACTGTTGAATTCAGCGCTTAATTTTTTTTAAAGAACAAGCACTGTGACGGGTGACACTTCGATACAAAAAGAGGACACTTTATTTGTGCTCAAACGATTTATTGTCTCTACAAAAACTTGTGTGACTGTACGTGCGTATGTATGGTTCAAATCTGTGAAAAAAACTTAAATAACTGACAAAAAAACCTTAGAGCACATTATATATAGATATGAAGAAACGAACAGATAAATAAATATTAATAAAGTGAATACATTAAATAATAAAGAGAAATGCCACACTACATTTGAAATAATCCACGTGTCCACACCCAAATTTTTCTAAGACTTGTAAAAACCACAATATATATATATATATACCCAAAACCAAATTTTAACTCCATACAAATTTAACCCTCAAGTGACCGAGTGGGGTCATTTACGATCCCAGCCATATTATTTAATGTGCCATCTCTTTATTTTTTATTCGAATTTTCTTTCCTTGCATGAGTTTGTCAGTCTATTAATCCTACAGCATGCTTTCAACGCATGTGTAGCGAACATGCAGCAACTATAAACGGATGCTAAACGAATCACTAACGAATCAGAACGAACGTTGAACGACTTTATAGCGCAGCCAACGTTATTGTAGCGCGCCTCTGTCCTGTTCCTAGTGTGTCCCGAGCATGCGTGTCCCGAGCCTAGCATGTATTCATGGTGTGTTGATAAATGGGTCCTATGTAGCTGCATCACTTTTCCACTTTTGTTGAATAACCGCTGCATGGAAAATCTTGACAGACTGCGATTAGAATACGAAACTTCAGTTCTCCAACATTCTCATAACGTCATGGAACTTGCACTCCACCAAGTCTGTGACATCAGGAGCATTCTGGCGAACCATTTCCAGGTTTTACTTAGGACAATGCAGCAGAAGCCCAAGACTATTAAAAAGATTGTAATAGCATGCATAATCTTCCACAACCTTAGTAGGATCCGGCATCCACGAATGCAGAACCAGCAGCTTGACGTTGCCGAGAACCTGGATCAAGAGTTTGCTCGTGGTGAGTGGAGAAATGGCCGATATCTAGAGGACACCCGCATCGTCATTGGCAGCAGCAAGACCATAAGGGAAAAAACAGAAATTATCTGAAGCCGGATCTGTTCTATGGCAAGACCACCTCTTTCTTCCCTTTGAAATGATCATTTAAACATAGACTAAATAAGACATTAAATGATACACAGTGGTGCTAAATACCGGTACATTATGTACATGTGATGTTACTGAAATTAAAGTCACAATCAGGATAAAATTTGTTATTTTAGACGGTCTTATTTTCAGTATTTTTATAGCTTGACTTTTATCAAAATTATCTAAAAACAATGGTCGGTTAGAATTGGAAAACAATTACATTGACAGTGTATATCATGTTTATGCTACTCTTTATTATTTTGCTGTTTAATATCACCTTCCCAATGAAGAAAACGATAAAATGTGTATCCAAGAAAACAAATTTCACTGGTTGCTTTTTACATTATCTGAAGTTTTTACACACACTGGACAAAAGAAGTGTCACCCCCTAACTCAGAGTAATGAAAGTAGGCAGATCTTGGGTACTTATAATGCCTGGTCTACTTATTATGTGACTAATGAGTATAAAACCGCTATACCATGGAATTGTATTGTTGGACTTGTACGTGTACAGCAAATATTATTCCTGTCTTCCTCCAATATGGCAAGATACAGGTAATTATCTAACGGCTATAGGTGCAAGTTATTAACCTGAAGAGGCGGAATATAAGCAATGTCAGTATATCGATACAATTGAATTGTTTAGTCAGAACCGTGCAGAGGGTCTGGTCTCAGTATAGAAACACTGGATCAAGAGACAAATTGTCTCTGATGGGTCGTCCAAGAAAAACTACTGGCCGTAAAGACCGACGACTGATTTTGATGTCCAGGTTGTCAAAATTCGACACTGCTTGTCAGTTGACAACACAGTGGAACAATTTCACACATAAAAATGTGTCTGTGATAATTGGTAGGCGTCGGTTACATAGAGTGTACGGCAGGGTAGCAAGACTGAAACCTCTTTTAGCGTTACAAAACAGGCAACGTAGAGTGAACTAGGGACAACAAGATCTGGAACTGGACAGTCCATGACAATTGGTCCTACATATTGTTTTCTGATGATTGTCGCTTTGGTCTTACCTCTGATGGCAGACGGGTACGATGCTAGCGAACTGCTGGTAAAGCATCGAAACCACATGTACTTAATTTTCGAACCCAGAGCAGCATATTCATCATGGAGTGGGGCTGCATCAGCATCCATGGCGTGGGCGAATTGATAGTGGTTGATGAAAACATGAATAACTAGAAATATATCGATGTTTTGGAGTCAAGCTTGCTACCAACTATTACTAACATGTTTGGTGACAGGAATAATCCATTTGTTCACCAGGATGACAATGTTCCTTGTCACAGGACCAGAGCAGTTGATGATTGGTTTGACCAACAGGACATTCGCAGGGTGATGTGGCTTGCCCTCAGTCCGGTTGAAAACATAATAGAAAATGTGTGGAATGATATGTCAAAACTTTGGATAAATGCCCGTCTAACAAGCAGAGAAACTCTGTTATATTCAGTGTTTCATGCTTGGGCCAGCATAAGCC